GATGCAAGGTGAAACAACTACTGTGCCTGTAGAATTGAGTAAAATGTCAATAAAGTTCTAAAAAAAAGAGTACACAGTGCCATGTGGCGGGATTGGCTAATTGGCACTGTCTTGGGCACTGCACACTAGCCGATGTGAGTTTTGAGCAGCGGCTGGTGAGAATGGACCCTAACATGAAACCCAACACAAAAGGGTCTATTAGGGTCATAGGAGAGAAATATTTACTTTCCATGCTCCTCAGCTTCATCTAGTGGCCATAACATGATACTACATTATTGATGGCCTCAAAAGAAAATATAGAAGAACGTTCATGTTTGCCTCTATTCCCACAGAAGGAATATTAAAGGAGAACTATGGGATTAAGGCTTTTCCCCATAGTTCTCCAAAGGGTAACGGGAGGACACAAACTAGCGTCCTCCCGTTACCCAAAGCTCAGCGAGCTGCAGCTTGCGGTATACTGAGACGCCGCAGCTGAAACGGATCCCGACAATTATGTCTGGGTCCGCCCAGCTGCGTGAGTGACAGCTGGCTCTGCCTGTCTAGAGGCAGAGCCAGCTGTACCCGCCCCTTCCCCCGTCTGTTCTGCCAGTCAGCGCTGGAGGAGCGGGGAGGGGAGAATCCAGTCACTCCCCTGTCACGGCTCTCTGCAGTGACAGGATCGAGAAGTTGAGCGAACGCCGGTATGTGTTCGCTCACTTCCCGATCTACTGAGCCGACCTGTGACAGTTTCATTCTCACAGGTCGGCTTAGATTATGAGGCTGAGTGAAAAGCACTCGCCTCATAATTCTCCTTTAAGAAAACTCCTCAGGGCAAATGGCTCTGCTAATTGTTTATAAATAACACCCTAATATAGCACCATAGAGAGGGTTATGGAGATATATATCTAATAAACAAATAAATCATATACCAGGAACCAAGGCAATAAGTAAAAACTTTGCATGACCACGTCTGTGAGCGTCCAAACTTAAATAACAGTGAAAACCAAATGATTTAATTGAATCAGCGTTGCCTGGCCAAGTTTCCAGATAGTTCTATTTTAAAAAATGCAACCTCCTTGCTCTAAGCTGTCAGCTCCAATTATCGCAATCCCAAGTTTGCCTACACCTCCGCTGATCTGTACAAGGAGGAGCGCCGTCACTCTCAATTATGTTGGCAAACTGGCAGAACAGGGAAGTCGATTCTGCAATCGCATTAACTGAACAGGCTGCTGCTGCTGTTTACCAACCGGAGGAGCCAGTTTGGCGGTTTAACTGGGGGCAACCGAAGTATTACACATATCACTGGCTCTTCTCAAGCCTCAACTCGTCTGTGATTACAGCCCAGCTACTTGTTATAAAAGCCAACACAAACCGAATGCAGATCTGATTCATGCACGGTGAGCTCTATACAAAGTAATCAGCTTTGTAAACAATAAAATGCCCATTTATAAAACAATTGGATTATGGTGCCAGGTTCCCTGTGCTGATATCTCTGCAGTGACAGGATCGAGAAGTTGAGCGAACGCCGGTATGTGTTCGCTCACTTCCCGATCTACTGAGCCGACCTGTGACAGTTTCATTCTCACAGGTCGGCTTAGATTATGAGGCTGAGTGAAAAGCACTCGCCTCATAATTCTCCTTTAAGAAAACTCCTCAGGGCAAATGGCTCTGCTAATTGTTTATAAATAACACCCTAATATAGCACCATAGAGAGGGTTATGGAGATATATATCTAATAAACAAATAAATCATATACCAGGAACCAAGGCAATAAGTAAAAACTTTGCATGACCACGTCTGTGAGCGTCCAAACTTAAATAACAGTGAAAACCAAATGATTTAATTGAATCAGCGTTGCCTGGCCAAGTTTCCAGATAGTTCTATTTTAAAAAATGCAACCTCCTTGCTCTAAGCTGTCAGCTCCAATTATCGCAATCCCAAGTTTGCCTACACCTCCGCTGATCTGTACAAGGAGGAGCGCCGTCACTCTCAATTATGTTGGCAAACTGGCAGAACAGGGAAGTCGATTCTGCAATCGCATTAACTGAACAGGCTGCTGCTGCTGTTTACCAACCGGAGGAGCCAGTTTGGCGGTTTAACTGGGGGCAACCGAAGTATTACACATATCACTGGCTCTTCTCAAGCCTCAACTCGTCTGTGATTACAGCCCAGCTACTTGTTATAAAAGCCAACACAAACCGAATGCAGATCTGATTCATGCACGGTGAGCTCTATACAAAGTAATCAGCTTTGTAAACAATAAAATGCCCATTTATAAAACAATTGGATTATGGTGCCAGGTTCCCTGTGCTGATATCTGGAAGGGTTATTATTAAGGAAAGAGGATCCAGGACAGAGAGAGGTAAATATGCAAACAAGGGGTTAAGTTTACCTTAGGGTCGGTTAGTAACAAGAAGTGTTAATGTTAGGGTGACAGGGAGGGTTAGTGTTAGGGTTACATAAAGGATTAATGTATGGGTAACAGGGAGGGTTAGTGTTAGGGTGGCAGGGGAGCGTTAATGTTAGAGTTACAGGGGGGATTAATGTTAGGGTTACAGGACGTGTTAGAGTTACAGGAGGGTAGGTGTTAAGCTGGTCTACACCGTCCGCTCTTTCTTGTTACTGTTTAGCTGAGAATTATAAGCTCCTTTGTCAAAAGCCAAGTGAAAACGTAACTCTTGGAAAAAAGCGGGTCCCACAAAGTGAGCAGGACTTGGCCAAAATCTGACCAGTGTATGGCATGCTTAAGGGTTACAGAGAGGGTTAGTGTAAGAGTTACAGAGAGGGTTAGTGTAAGGGTTACCGAGAAGGTTAGTGTAAGAGTTACAGAGAGGGTTGTCTTAATGGTTACTGGGAGGGTTAGTTTTAGCATTACAGAGAGGGTTAGTATTAGAGTTACAGGGAGGGTTAGTTTTAGCGTTACAGAGAGGGTTAGTATTAGAGTTACAGGGAGGGTTAGTGTAAGGGTTACAGGGTGGGTTAGTTTTAGCGTTACAGAGAGGGTTAGTGTTAGAGTTAAAGGGAGGGTTAGTGTTAGAGTTAAAGGGAGAGTTAGTGTAAGGGTAAGTATTAGCATTATGGGGAGGTTTCATTGCAAGGAGGATTAATGTTAGGGTCATAGGGAGAGATAAGATTAGAGTTAGAAGGAGGGTTAGCAGAAGGGATTCTAGGATAGGGCATCACATTCTATGCCAGGAGCTCAGTTCTATAACCACAAGCATTGATCACCTGGCTCTACTCTACAAGTCTCCAGAAATATTCTTGAAGTAGGCTCACCTGAATACTGTGGACATTGTGTCAAAAACAGTGGATAACCCTAGACAGACTCCATTATAAAGAGCAAAATAAGAACATTCCCCATTGTAAATGCCCATTTGAAAAGCTTTTGCAGGCACAAAATAGGTCATGGAAACTATTTACAATGTTACTGGCTTGCTTTGCAATGTCACATAGGCGGAGGAATGATTTACATTTCTGGAAAAGAAACAAACCAGTTAAGATGAAATAAAACATTTAGATCTTTACTTCTTGTAGATTGTTTAAATAGTGCTGATATTTGGTGCAAAACGTTGTTTAATCATCTAAAGGCCTATGTTACAAGCTTTGCATGGGATCACTCAGCATGCATTACTAAGGCTCACTAAGTGCCAGTCCAACCCCGGGCCAGAAACAATGTATTGGATTGAATAGCCCGGTACACAAAAACAGCGGACTGAAGTATTAGTTTTGCACTGCAGCATGCCAGAGTGCATATGGCGTGCTGGGTTCAGGTTGCATATGCTTATACTTCCCAATAAAATTAGGTTTCCCCCCTGGCAGATCTCCACCCCACCAAGAGAACGCTGGAAAGCTGAATAGGATGTGCCCTGAAAGTCCTGCATCCAGCAATGTGTGTACAAGGCTTTAATGAGTAAATTATTATCCTTTGGTGGCTTGGTTAACCAAAAAAATGTTAAAACTTCATTCTGATGTAATTTGTCATGGTGTGTGTAATCCTCACCACCCGGCCTCCTGCATCTGTGCGATTAGTCACCCCGACTATGAAAAACAAGTCAAGCCCTTCTAATGTGACCTTACCAGGAAAGAGGCACAGCGCTGCCTAAAGAGTGTCTCATTGGATATCATTCTGAAAGTGAAATTGCTATTCTGACTCTCATGTGACTCTCAGAGTGTCTCTGGTGTGAAATCAGCCCTTTTCAACCTGTTTATCCTAGAGGAATCCTTAAAATATTTTCTGGTCTTGGAGAACACCTGCTAAAACCAATTCATCCTTACATTGGTAGTCAGAGGAATGAATGCTCCTCTTACAGTGGTGGTCAGAATACTACACTTACAGATAGCTAAAAAGTTCATTGGTGTCATGCTGCTGGCTCTAAGCGGTGTAGGACCTGAAACTACGCAGGCACCATCACATGTGAGGTCAATCAACCACAGAACCCCTAGCAACCTCTGGAGGAACCTTAGAGCTCCATGGGACCCTGGTTGAGAATGGCTGGGCTACATTAATAAAAAGTATGAAACAGGTCCAGGCTGTATCAGAAGACTACAAAATCTTCTACATCTGACATACATTTAGGTGTTCCCGATCCCTTGTACACCTGCTGTGGGTTACATCTGCTGGCTCTACTGTGTCCTGTACTGACGTGGAGGTCGGCAGATGGTACCACAGCACGCAGAACTCCTGGAAATCTCTTATGCTGAAGTGGTCCTGGCACTGCGACAGTGCCAGGGCTACTAAATTAACCCTTTTCTTTACAGGCTGCAGTCTGTGCAAACTTTTCTATCCAGTGATATTCATATCAGGAGATTTTGGACATTTTAGTGCATTTGTAACAACACAGTTGAGTACTGTACATGATTCATTGCAGAGCAAGCTTTTAAAAGATCTGTTCCCTTCTTCCAGTCTGAGCAGTACTGATATAAAGATTCAAATGACAATAAGAGTTTTACAATTAAACTACCTAAAGTTAGGGAAGAGTCATAAGACTGTAATAACAATGAGCCAGGAATAGAGTAAAGAGTGGGTAATGGAGCTAATTTGTGCAAATACATAGGTCTCAGCTTGTGAGGTTGAAGCACAGTTCTTGAATTGCAGCACTAAGCAGATACATGACAACAAGGCATATTAAATAAAGTGCAGCACAATAAATAATATTCTTTTTTTACTCATCTGCCATAGCCAACCCAGAAGTTTCACATTGAAATCCTGATGTGCTCAGCTATCTCTGAGTGAGGCACTGCTGCTTGGACCAGTGACGTCTGTAGGTATCTAGTGTGAATTGTAGCATAGGTGAGAATTTATGATGGTCAAACAAGCCAGGTGGCTGTTGGCAGGAACTGGTCGTACACAGACAAACTGAACTGTGTTAAGGAGAATTATTCTAGGAGGTAATGAGCAAAGCATACCCTACTGCACACATTATGTGTCAGTAAGGTACAGGTTCTCCTATAAGAAGGGTAAGTAACTTGAGTCCCTCCAACTGTATCCAATGGCATGCTGTGACCTGTAGTTTCACAGTGAGAAGATGCCATGCCATTTCTGGGGAACGAATAAAGCTTTCAAAGCAGAAATTACAATTATAATGTCAACCAACAACTCAGTAGCTGGTTATTGGTGGCTAATCCATACTAACTTTAGCCAGACAAAGTCTGATCATTGCTCCAAGTGACAACAGGAGAGCACATGAATGATAACTATACCTGGTGCACATGGGACATGTTGGCCTCCATTCGTTAAGTAATAATGATGGTTATTTGTGATAAAGTAGATTATTTTCAGCAATGATGACAGTCAATAAGAGACATACCGTAACAAGCACATAGCTGGAAATAATGATCAGTATGGCAAAGAGCCCAAGAGTTATAGCTCGTTATATAGGGCTGTATGCTGGGTGAGAACAGGAAGCAAATAGTTCTCTACCTTGTAAAATCATTTCTGGAATCTCTGCTGCTGGCTACTATATCTCAGCAAACTACTTCCAGAAAATGACAGCATATTACAACCACGACATATCACACCAAAATAAGTGAATTTGATGACAGATACAGTATGTGTCATTATAAATACTGCTGTTGACTTAAAAACTAAAGATACAAGATACTATGAATAGATAGTTAGCAGAGTTTTAGAAAAAGAGATTTAATTGGCAAATCTGGGACATTTCCTTGAACACAACACAATTTAAGGGAGAAATCCTGGATGGCTATGCATGGAAAACGGGGACAGAAGGCAGTTAAAGTCACGGCTTCCAGCTGTTCTGCATCTGCAAGTCCCCCTTTGTCCTGCTACTTCTGGGACTTGTGGTTCTATATCACAATACTCATTTATAAGACAGTTATAAGCTGAATATGTGATGAACAGTGTTGCATAATATTTTGGAGTTTTTTAACTAGGTGATGATAAATATAATAATGTTGTGCAGGCTCTTTATCTGTCGTGTATCCACAAGTACCGGCATGTGTCTACATGAAGTAGGCATCTCCTTATTCTGCGGAACACAGTATTGTAGTGGAAATGGACATCATGCACAGGGGATATATATCGTCTCAAAGGATATTCTAAAGTGATTGCAGCATCAACACAAACACAGCACATGATATTATATTGCTGAAGTCAGCATGCAGGGTGCATATTGGGATACAACTCCAGTGCTAAACCCCTTAAGTGTTCTACCATTACAATGCCAGCATGCCCAACCTACGTATGCTGGCAGCTGTCGTCATAAAGCAGTCCTACAAACATAAGTACCTAGAATGCTATTGATTAAACTCAACAGAGGATCAATACAGGAAATAAAGGATCCTAATTACCAGCGTGTGCAGAGAAGCAAATATGGACCTGATTTACTGAAGTCACAGCCTGGTTGTACAATCTCCTTTAGCTCTGCCACTAACCATGTAGCTGCATGATTTATTTATTATTTATTACAAGTATTTATATAGTGCCAACAATTTACGCAGAACTTTACATAGAGCACATTCACATCAGTCCCTCCAGGAGCTTACAATCTAAGGTCCCTATTGATTTAATACAAAGTGAACTAATTGTTTAGTTTTGTCCTTGTATTACATAATTTTGGTAAATTTAAAGGAGCTTGTAGGAAACTGTATCATCTGCATAGTGTACGGCCAGCTCTATAGTGAGGTAAGGCAAACTTATATTCACTTCAGCCATACAAACTCCTGAATGGGCAGCTGCAATTTGTTTTCAAATGCCCTGCATGTGATTGGAAGAACTCATGTTTATATGGTACCTTAGTAGATCAGGTCTAGTTTCACCTGGCTTCACATTTTAGTTCATCAGACCCAGCATTTGAATACTATAGGTCAGTGATCACTCACGTTTGGCTCCTTTGCTGCCTTGCAGCATCAAGTATCAGCCTGTCCTGCCATTAGCTGCTTTGATTCTACTCTAGGGGAAGACAAGCAGAGAGAGCACATGGCGTTCTATTCCTGACAGGTAACATAAAGCATCAGGATTGGTATTACATTGCCAGTGTTGAGCTCGGTAATAGGTGATATTTGGCTATCTAGAAGTTCTGCAGGAACAAGTGCTATCCTGTTTTGCCATAATCTGCTGGGACCTGTAGTTCTTCTCCACATTGCAATCAAGACAAACCGGCACTGAGCACATGGCATGCCATTCCTGAAACTCAGCATGAATGATCAACATTGGAATAACAATGTGAGCAACAAGTGCCATCCTGCCCTGTCATAATCTGCTGGGACCTGTCGTCCTACTCATTCATTATTGGGATTACAATTAGAGAGCACATGGCACGTCCTTCCTGAAAGTAACGCAGGATTTATATTGTCAGCATTTAGCTCAGTTATAGGTTGTCTTTGGCTACTTAGATTGCAGCTACACGTTTACCTTGCTATAACCTGCTGTGACTTGTAGTTCTATAGAGAACAATCATAGAAAACAAGTAAAGAGCACACTGCAAGCCACAGCAGAATATATTAATTTAGAATGTATTATTTGAAAATAAAATGAGTTTTCTGCTTAGTTGTGGCCACAAGTGCTGCCATAACCTGCTGGGACCTGTAGTTCTACTCTAGACAGTTATCAGCATTGGAATTACAATGTCAGTATTGACCTTAGTGGTGGGTATTCTTGGCACTCCAGCTGTCCCGCAGCTAGAAGAACCATCCAGTGCTACCCTAACATGCTGGGCTCTTCAGTTCTGCAGCTACAACAGCCAAAATCTCCTGCCCTGACACGTTGGGCTCTCTAGTTCTGCAGCTACACAAGCCACTTTCTCCTGCCCTGGCATGCTGGGCTATCTACTTCTAAAGCTACAATATAAATTCTCTCCTGCCCTGGCATGCAGTTACCCATCCACTACCTTGGCATGCTGGGCTCTCTAGTTCTTCAGTTACCCATCTTCTGCCCTGTCATGCTGTGCTAGTCCCTAGTTCTCTAGCTCTACAGTTACCCATCCTCTCCCTAGGCATGCTGGGCTCTCTAGTTCTGCATTTACCCATCTTCTGCCCTGTCATGCTGTGCTAGTCCCTAGTTCTCTAGCTCTACAGTTACACATCCTCTCCCTAGGCATGCTGGACTCTCTAGTTCTACAGTTACACATCCTCTCCCTTGGCATGCTGGCCTCTTTAGTTCTACAGTTACCCATCCTCTCCCTAGGCATGCTGGACTCTCTAGTTCTACAGTTACCCACCCTCTCCCTTGGCACTCTAGGCTCTCAAGCTCTACAGTTACACATCCTCTCCCTAGGCATGCTGGACTCTCTAGTTCTACTGTTACACATCCTCTCCCTTGGCATGCTGGGCTCTCTAGTTCTACAATTACCCATCCTCTCCCTTGGCACTCTGGGCTCTCAAGCTCTACAGTTACACATCCTCTCCCTTGGCACTCCGGGCACTCTAGCTCTACCCTCGCCCCGCTCTAGACACATCACCCGGTTGCACGGAGCTCACGGGCTGCACTTCCCCGGACTCACCACTAGAGGGATGGAGCAGATGAGAACGACCAAGGAGGTTCCGATGAGCACGATGACCATCTGGATTTCAGCACCGGCGATCCTGCGGAAGCTCCTCCGCCGCCTGAAGTCGGAGATTCGGGTGTCGGTGCCCAGGGAGGTGCGGCGCACGAACTGTCGGTGCATGCGGATGAGGGCCACACAAACCAGCACGTTGCACACCACGGTGACCAGGATGAGGAAGGAGCTGAAGCCGGCGTACATGTAGGAGTAGGCGGCATGGGTGGACACGTTTGTCCTCCAGTCCAAGAAGCACCAGGTCCATGGGTACTGCTTGGTGCTCTTCCCCAGCCCCATGCTTGGCAAGGCACAGAAGAGGACATTGCAGACGTAGATGGCACACAGGGTGAGTCCGGCCAGCTTCTTGTCCACGTAGTGGTTGTAGAAGTAGGCATGGTTGATGGCCAGGTAGCGCTCAATGGACATTGCGCAGATGATGCTGAGACCGGACAGCCCGAAGAAGAGCAGAATGAACGAGCTGTATTCGCACAGAGCGTCCCCGCCCGGCCACTTATTCTGCAGGTAGGTGGCGATGGTGACCGGACTCACCAGGCAGGTGCCCAGCAGGTCGGTGAGTGCCAGCCCGCAGACCAGCGTGTAGAAAGTTGTCTCCTTCTGCTCCTTGCGGGACTTGCACAGGACCACGATGGCGATCAGGTTACCCACCACCCCGAAGATGAACATGACGGCTGGGATGGTGGGGGGTCGGCCGATGACCAGGGCGGTGCTGTTCAGGCTGGTCATGTTCAGAGGTATGGACATGGTGGTACTGTTCAGGGAGGTCAGCATCGGGTCAGATCCAGCTGATTGGGATCATCCAGAACCCACCAACAAATGTTCTAATTTTGTCCACAGTTTAAATGTGTCCAGGTACGTCGGTCAAAAAGTCCACGGATTTATTCCAGAAGGTGGGTGGTCAGTATCTGCTCCTCTTGCAACTCAGTCCTTGTACAGGTTGGCAAAGTTGACACCAGGTCTTCCCAGACTGGCACAGGTGAGGAGATCTTCTAAGACTGGCACAGGTTATGTAGATTCCCAGACTGTCAAAGGTTAGAAGATCACAACTTTTCAGGCTGACAAATGTGAGATCTAGATTCTTTGTCTGGCAAAGTTGAGAAGATCAGGAATCCTCAGGCTGGCACAGGTGAGAAGATCAGGACTTCCTAGACTGGCACAGGTCAGGAGATCAGGACTTCTAAGGCTGGTACAGGTCAGGAGATCAGGACTGCTCAGGCTGACAGGAGATCAGGACTTCCTAGACTGGCACATATGAGGAGATCAGGACTTCTCAGGTTGGCACAGGTGAGGAGATAAGGATCCCCAAGCTTACACAGGTGAGGAGATCAGAGTTCCCAGAATGGCACTGGTGATATCAGGATTATCAAACTTGCACTGGGTAGAGTAGAACTTCTCAGACTGGCAGCACTTCCACGATGTATCTGGTAGCCAGGATTACTGATGGTGGAAGGCAGAGACAAGTGCTGGGTCTAGTCATTGTTGATGGGCTCCTGCAGACTGTCAGTGGTGCTCATGTCCTGCCTGCTGTCAGTTCAGACACTTCTGAGCTGCTGCTCAAAGTTTTCCTCTGGTGAAGTTTCTCAAGAGGGGAGAGGTTTGCTTTGCTCTCCTCCCCTAGCCTGGCCTGATTGGAGCTGCTGATGTCAATGATGAGGTTACTGTGGGCAGACAGAGCTCTCTGTCATTTGGAAGAGCTCCTGGGGGCAGCAGTGTGAGCTGTGCAATTGCAGGCTCTTCCCTTTTATATGCGCTGATGTTAATGCCTACGACGACGTCTGCTATTGAACCCTCCATTTAGAAACATGCCAGAACTTTTTTTTTTTTTTGTACAGTGGAACTGATAAACAAAAATTCACACTCTTACATGAACTCATCCAAAGTTTTGTTTTTCAATAGATTGCAGTTGATAAAAACAGAGGACAGAAAGTTGTGTTGTAATTAATACGATTATTTCGGCTTGCAAAAAACAGCAGCAAAAGAAACCAAACACACAAGAAAAAGATTCAACAAAAAATAAGTTGTTCCTCTTTTACACGTCATCTATAGTCGTGAAATAAATAAACCTGAATGTCCATTATTATTTAATTAATACTCAGCATATAATAACGTTTAATACACAGAGCTGTATGTGATTTCCAAGAGCCTGAGCCGTGGAAACGCAGATGGAAGTGGAGTCGTTGTCCAGAGCAAACAATCAGGCTGAGCCAGTGATCTTAATGTTTGCCATACTTATTACTTCTTCCTCTTCTCTTTTTTTTTTTTTCACTGTTTATTAATTCCGCATTTACAGTTCAGTGTTTTCTGGTGATTTGAAGTGTTTAGGTTTTTGCTCATTTTTTTTGCATGCTTTCCAGACTTAAAGTGACACTACACTCAGGAGTTAAATGTTAAAAATGCATTCAGGGATCTTAACTATTAACAAAAATGTATCTTATTTGTGTATCACTCGGCTGTAGATTCTCAAATCATCTCTGAATTGGTGCTGACACTGTCCTTCCTTCTGGAGTGTGGCTACTTTTGTTCCCCATGGTCCCTGTGTATGTTGTAAAGTAGTCACCGCTCCAAGCTCGCTCCTGTGATGGAGTACAATCCAATGTTTAGTTTACTAAGTTTGTATGGAGATTGTAGTCCATCACAGGAGTGAGCTTGGAGCGGTGGCTACTAATGCTGCAGCTAACCATTATTTTCATAATCGATTAGTTAGCCGACTATTTTTTCGATTAATCGGATAAAAAAATACCATTGTTAATTTAAAAAAAAATATGTGGTGATACTTGACATGTGTAGCGAAATCGTCAGTTTTCTATGTAGGTGCACCCGACTTGTGTTTCTGTTAGTATACGCACGTTTGGGG